ATCGCGATCAACGGTTGATAAGAAAAGTTAATCCTTAATGGAAAGAATAATTTTGCTAAAGTATATAAAAATTTAGCTTAGATACAGATCTAAAAATAAATTTGTTGGATTCTCAAAATAATTATGTAAAGATTTCAAATACATATAATGATCAATGCTGTAAAAAGTTTAAGTTTTGGCATTCTAGCAATCAGTTTGAGCGCCCTAATTATTTTCGGATCTATAGCTAAATTTTTAGATATGTTAACAGAACCATCCTTTTCATACATAATTTCACTTTTTCCACTACTGGATTTCCCTCTAAAAATATAAAAGTGAAGATAAAGTCTGTGCAAAATTGTTCTTGTTGTTTAAAGAATATAGAGATTTTTGAGGCGTTATAAAGAAACAAAAAGTCGCACAAAAATATAAAATTTTTACTATTTAAAATTCGATTCAGATATAACCTTTGCATCGAGAAAAAGGTTAAAAAGTGCGATTTGAGAAATATAATCTCGAAAGAGCTATTGATTGTTCCAGATATACTTCCATATCGGAACTCGAAGATGTATCTATACAATTCGGTCCATTTATATATTAATATATAGATTCGAAGATTTAAACGATTCGAGAAAAGCCGAAAAACGAGGAAGCCAAGGAAATCTAAAAACATACAGATATAGAAAATGACGACTTGATTAATTTATCTCAATTCGAACCGATTTTCTGACTCTCGCAGATTTTCGTGGATAATCGCGACATTCACAATCCCGATGTATCTTGCTAGTGATAAATGTGTGTTTTTCGTGAGTCCACGTGAGTCTTCAGTACAATAAAATTAATATCCTTGATGGGATGCGGAAGATACGATCACGTGTTCGCGTGTCGGATACGCGAGTCGCACTAAAGGCAACGTCGACTCGGGCGATTCGCGATCGCTCGGAGCTTCTCTCACGTGCGACGAAGAAGCGTTCTCTTCTATCCTCGCCCACTTGCTCTGCCTTCCACCATCGCTCTCCTACTTTCCTTCTCTCGCATTCTTCCCCCTTAATCGATTAAGAGAATTGATTCTTTAACCCTGCAGAATTCCTCCCGGGTCTATTTTCGAGCGACTTCATCAATAAAACGCGAAGATTATAAATATTATCGCGTCTAAACTTTGTAGTTTTGTCAATACTTTTCATTTCTTGAGACATCTGCTTAGATACGAAAAAGAAGAGATACAGTTTCATCAAATCGCCTTATGATAACTGTAATAATTAATGCTAGTGTTTCATCAAGATTTCTTGTCTTAAAAAACATTTCTTGTCTTGATTTTCAAGATAAAAAAATTTCGATTTTTTGTCTTGAACATATTTCTTGACATTGTATTTCTTGTCTTGAATTCAAGAATCTTGAATTTTTTAAAATTTCTTGATTTTTTAAGCAGGACTCTTTGATTACGTCACGTAAGAGATAATAAGAAAACATAGGAAAACAAATTGAATGTCGAGTCGTCTCGTAATTTACTATGTTTAAATTCATGATTTAAAAATAGTGCTTATAATGTCTATTATGCACAAATCTATTAATAAAGATTTAAAATATTTCTCAAATTATCATTTTTAATATCATGAAGTTACTGCCAAATGTAACTATTTCAGATTATTAGATTCCTAAGATTATTAGATATAATTATTATTATTATAATTATTATA